TCTCTCTCTCTCTCTCTCTCTCTCTCCGCGAACTTTCCACCCTCTCTCTTTTTCTTTCACCGAACCGCACCACTTTTGCCTCCTGTGCGCATGCGTCAAATAACAGCAATCGCAAGATGGCGACCTAGTGAGAGCACGGCTTGCTGTGTGTGTGCTGTGAACCTGTGTACTCTCGTGTCAGTCGGGACTGAAGAGGCGACCCGAGGCGACGAACGGGGCTCGCTGGAATTTGAGTTCATTTAAACATCATGTATGGCAGACAGAACTGACGTCAAATGTGCGAATGCAGTTTAAAAAGAGATTTATTCTGGTCTCTATGATCGTTCTGTTCGTTGTTGCTGTCTTCGTGATCTATCACCATGCATTCTCTTCGAGTCGCGGATCAGTCAAGGCTTCCCGGCGCAGCTATGGAACCCACTCGTTCCGAGATCCAAGCAATAACAACCCTCGATCCTTCCTCGTGGATGATGCCGAGGGGGTGTTCGCAGACGACCTGCATCACAATCCCATCAACAGGTCCCAGTTCAAGTCCAAGCTGGACTGGCGAAAGTGTCGCATGGAAACATGCTTCGACTTCAGCAGGTGTAAGAATGGGTTCAAAATTTACCTGTACCCAAGGCAGGCCCCTGTGTCTGCCCCCTACGCAAAGATCCTTAGCGTCATTGAGAAATCGAGATATCTTACGGCGAATCCGCAGGAAGCTTGTGTGTTCATTCCATCGATCGACACGCTTGACCAGGACGTGTTGAGCAGTGACTATGTTGCCGACGTCGAGCAAAAGTTATCAAAACTTCCATATTGGAACGGGGGGAGAAACCACTTACTATTTAATCAGTATTCGGGAACGTGGCCAGACTACTCGGAAGAGCTCACTTTTATCCAGCAAGCCATGTTAGTAAAATCGAGCATGTCCATAGACTGGATTCGGTACGGTTTCGACATTTCAATGCCGTTATTTCCGAAGGACCACCCGCAGTCTGGGGGGCAGAAAGGTTACCTAAACCAAGCATCAAATTCAATCCCGTCTATACGACACTATCTTTTAGCTTTCAAAGGCAAAAGATACTTGAATGGAAAAGGATCTGATTCGAGGAACAGCTTGTATCATATTCACAATGGAAAGGATATCGTTTTATTGACTACGTGCAAACACGGGAAAGGATGGGAGAAATTGATGGATGAGCGCTGCTTACAGGATAATGAGGAATTCGAAAAGTGAGTACCCACCGAATGTTGTTTTTGAAGTAAAGGCTACTGCTGCTGGGTCTCATATTCTGGGCTGTTTGCAGGGGGGGAAGATTTAGCCTACTAGACATTTGACATCAGATCTAATTAACTAGATTAGATCTAGAATTCTAGAATCTAAATTTATAATACTATCGAAATGGAAAAAAATGACATAATCTCAGACAACCCCCCTGTGAGAGGGAAAAGCGAGGGACACACAAGTTACAGTGGGGTGAAGGCCAAATTATAGCCTCTACCTATCTCTAAACATGCTTTGCTTTCTGTTGACTGAAACACACATTTTCTATCAATGATTATTCAATGTCTACTTCACTCACTGCAAGCTGCTAGAGATCTAAAATTCTGATTCTACTTGCTGACCAAGAAATAAGGAAAAAAATCATCGACGCAGGAATTGAATCATTGAAAAAGTTTACCAATGAAATATGGTATTGAGTGCTTTTAAAATTAATTAATTAAATTATAATGTAAAAATAAAACTCCAGAGAAGAGCTATTGCAGATAATGATTAAAAGTCTTTAAATCTAATTTTAAGGATCAAGGCCAGAAAAACTATCTAGCTACGGGCACATTATAAAAGGTTTCAAAAGACAATAAATGATTGAAGTTTATGAAGTTCCAAGCGAATAGGGTTTTAAAATCTAAAATGTAAAATCTTATTGTGGTTTGAAGAGCATTTCATAGCCTGGTTTTTTATTTGGTCTCTTAGGCCTCTATACAAATTTAAATATTTGACAGCCTGAGAAAAATGAGATTTTTCTAGAAAAATCAGAAAAATTGGTCTCCACTCACCATTAAAATTCTCTCCTGTCTCTATCATCCCAACTGACTATGAACTATTTTCGTCCTAGAATGTTACAAGACTTTTCTCTTACTTTGTTCTTCCGCTTGTACTGGTGGATGTTGCGGATCCCAAAATCATGGTCTCTTAAGTCCGTATCAGTTATTTACAATTTATAAATATATAGAGGATCGAAATTTTTTTAAAAATGCGTTTAAACAAAAAAGTTAAAACAAGCAATATTTCTAAATAAAATACATCATATGTTGTGTTGGCCTAAGTTCATGCATATATATATATTGAAAAAAATCTTTAAAAAGAAAAAATTGTAAATTCTAGGATGTAATAGCCTTATATAAATTTAGGCAAAAATTATTCACATATATATTGACGAAAATTTGAATTTAAGTTCATCATGCTATAGACTATAGATGATACACAACATGATGTTTGTTATCTACATATATGTCAGCTCATGTCAGTTTCTCCCTAGTCTCAGTCTCAATGGTGACTGGTTGATATTTCAGTTGGTCATGAATATAATATGATGATGACATTTGACATTCAGCTGTGTTGGGTTGAAGTTTTACTGCGTGTGTAGCAAAAAGATAGTTTTAAAACATTTTTTAATTGCATTACTTTATTTTGTAATGGTACCCGTGGAAAAAAATGCTCATTGATCATGATGGAGATTTTTTTTTTAAATGCTCATTGATGAGAAACAACATCAACAGCGTTTGAAGTTGATGTTATAGCATGCATGTTATGGAAAAATGAGTGCACTAAGAATGTTGCATTTTGCCTATAACAATTGTGAACCCAGAGGAATACAACATTGTCAACATGTAACAATTTTGCTTTGCAAAAAAATATAATATTTGATCATGATGAAGAAGGTTATCCTTTGTGCCCTGAACAATAAAGAAAAAAAACCCAGGAACAGCGGTGGGGAGGGGGGGGTGTGCAAGTGGGTGAAGGGGGGGTGTGAAAGTGG